GCCAGATAATGATGGGATTCTTGCTGAAGATGCCACGCCCCTTCCAGGCGTGACACTATGACGTCAGCATTAGTTAAGGCACGGTGATCACCCATCTCCAAAACAAGTGCCTGTACCATACCGCAATAAGAAAATCAAAATTACATTGACTTTTATCTTGAAGACCTTTGTTCATGGAACTCTGTAACTTTTAGACTTTATAAAGAATTTGCAAACTCGTTTCTTAATGTGCACGCTTTACACACTTCTTATCTTTTGACACCCCCCTCTCTCTCTCTCTCTCTCTCTCTCCCTCTATCTCTCCTTCCATCCCTTACGAATTTTAGCATTCAAGCATCCCACCTCCATCTCCCATTCCCCACACCAGGCGCGTACGCAGGGGGGTTGGAGTTAACCCCCCCCCCCTTGAGTTTTTTTTGTGTGTATGTTTTTCGAGAACCCCCCCCCCCCGCCCTTTTGAGTGCTGATTTTTTTTTTTTTTTTTTTTTGGCCCGATTTCAAAATGTTAACCCCCCCCCCCCCCCCCTTGGAAAAATCCTGCGTACGCCACTGCCCCACCCCCATAACTCTTGTTACAATCAGTTATAATTACTTACATGTATATAATGGTAGAATTATTTTCAATTGCATCAAGCGAACTATAATTGAACAGAGTCTCAAGATACCTTGATTCGATGTTCGATACTGTATACTTGATCCACATCCTCTACCTTCTCAGGAACGGGCCGAGATTTCAGGGATTCGTTCACAACCGTTTTGAGAATGATGTGATCATGCATTTTCTGAAAAGCAATGGGAATCAATGATATCATTCTCATGAGGACTTATTTTTAGGAGCCTTAGAAGATTAAAAAATAATTTTGATCTGGTGACAAATAACACTTTTCTTAACTTTCTTGACATTTTAAACACTAATAACTGCCAAAATAATATGCAAAGTGAGAGAAACATTAGTCATAAAACTTTAAACGTAATAATTTGATAAATCAAATTTACCTTTGTTCGAATCTTAGCTTCGTTGATGATGTCTCGACTGAGAATGGGACGGTTAGAAGAGTTTCTCACCATCCCACCGACAAAGCGAAGAAATCCAGACATCCTATACCAGGTTGAAAACAAGGTCTATTTATCTTATATTTGTTCATTTAATCATTCATCTTTTTATTTATTGCTTAATTATCTATTTGAATATCTATTCATATATCTATTTGTTTACTTGGTTATTTCCTTTTCTTATCATTCTTATTCATTCATTCTAGAATCTATATTTATTTTATAACATTTTTCATATCTACTGTTTTTTCATTTGTCCTTTTATATCTTTCTATCTAACTAACTATCTCTTTTAATCATCTCCTTTTCGCATTACTAATTTCTATATTATAATTTCTTTTCTTTTTCTTTTTCTTCTCAAACTCTCGTTATCATTTTTCTTATCTTTGCACACTATTAACTTGACTTCCGAAGTCGCGTGTTTCATTAAATCTTGTCATTTCAATCTCTCTCTCTCTCTCTCTCTCTCTCTAAAATTGGCTAAATAGATCAATATAGATTTTCTTACCTGATTAAGTTTTATTTTTCGTCAGAAGTGTCTAAAATACTCTAAAAGTTGAGAAAATTCAGAAGAATTTCTGCGCACCTTTATCTTGTTCGGCATATAAACAGAGTATGTTGATAAAACTTAACTAGTCTCCATGCCGCACAGCGGTTGTATGCAAATGATCTGGTGATGACGTAAATGACTTGGGAAGAATAACTTTCAACCAATCAGCGGACAGGGTTTACTACCATATCGTGCGCAAACACTTGAGACGTCATCAAAGCAAGATGAATATGCAGTAGTGTTCGTTACTGCGCACGCGCATTTTAAACGCGTGCCTCTTTACGTAATAATAAGGCATTTCTCATGCGCGACCCTCCCTTGCCCAGCTCTTCTTATATTTAAACGTCTTTGGTCTTTGCCCCATCCCCTCCCAACTCCCCCCCTCTCTCTCTCTCTCTCTCTCCCTTTCTCTTTCTCTCTCTCTCTCTCTCTCTCTCTCTCTCCTCTTCTCTTTTGTTTTCTCCCACCTACCCTCCTCCCTGGCAAGTTTTTTTCTTCATTCTTAAGCCTTACGCTTCTTTCCTCAAAACGTTGTTCTTATCTCGAAAATAACACATTTCAATGTTTTCTCTTGTTTTACAGTCCCGTGGTGGATTATTATTTTGATCAGCATTTCTCTCTATTCTTTTTACTTGTCCACCATTGGTTCGACCCCCCCCCCCCCCCCATCTCCCTTACTCCCTCTATCTCTCCTCTCTCCCTCTCGCGTTATATAATATCTGTCTCTCTCTCCCTTTCTATCTCTTTCTCCCACAGCAAGTTTAGGAAGATAAACTAACCCTGTCTTTCCCCTCTTCCGCCCGCCCTCTGTATTCCCTATCCTCCCTCTCTAAAACTAACCACGTTAAATTAACGCTAATGAAATATAGCTGAATATACTATATAATAAATTGGCGCAAATTCCGCTAACGAGCAATATGATACATGTATGATTGTGCATAGATTATATGCTTTTATTGAACAAGAAAATGAATTATTCATGAAATATCAGTTGCCAAAAGATTGTCAGCTTACACACACATACACTGTTCTGGCCATATTAAGTCATCCACTCTTTCAGTACTTTCACTTCAGTTTTCAATCAATAACTAACCTAGCACAATGAGACAAAAATAACAATCTTATTTTCGCCACTTTATATCATTTTTGGTCGGTACTACATAGGCCTACACACAATCAGGAAACTTGATAGAGTATGTTGTGTTTTCAATTTGGTTAATATATTATGCAATAGCTTCCCATTTTCAAGTAAAAGTGTACTATATGCATCAGTTCGTTTAAAAAGGACAACAAAACAATAATGAAATGTAACTATTTGTAGCATTACCATTCTTATATCATAATAAGTGTATTCTTCATCACCAAGATAGAACCATAAATGACAAGATATACATGTATTATAATTATTGCATACAGTGTGTTGAGAGCGAGAAGGGCATTCTCTCGTGTGTCACGTGGTAACTCAAAGTAATTGCACCTACATGCCATTTACCGTTTCAATACAGCAATACCCTCACTTTATTCTGAGTAACCATACTTATACATCATGCAGTCCAAACTGTAACAAAGACAATAGTTGTGATATTTCAACAGAGAAATATAATCAAGAACCAATTCAATAGTATGTCAATTTCATAAACAGTTAACATTTAGGATTAAACTTGCAGTATCTCTTACTCCTTCTCTCCATCCTTGACTCTCTGGTACTTGGTCCTGTAATTGATTTATTCCCTCACATTTCTCTAGGCAGTGGCGGCTCAAGGGTGTCCTCTTACCCCCCCCCCCCGCTTATTCAGCGGCTGGCTTAGTCGTTGCGATTTTTTTTGGACTCCCCCCCCCCCCCCAAAAAAAAGTGTCCGCTTAAGTGAAATGCTCATCTACTACTAATACTAGTACTAGAATTTAATACCGCGTTGTAAAACCAACGATGTAGGTACTCTGCAATCTCGTATTTACGTTTTTAACACGAATGCTCAATTCTTCCATGTACATGTAGTTTTTGCTTTTTATCCCATGATTGTCTACTATAGGCCTACATTTATTTAGTAACATGATATACATGTGTCTTGAATTTCTCACCGTTAATGGTCTCTTAATCTTACTGTACGTTCCTACATACATTAATGAAACAATTTTATTCTGTTCACATGGTTTATGCACCATTTCAATCTTTTACTTTATAGCGTATATAAAGAATGCCAGAATAAGACTCTGCGTTTGATTTTCTTATTTTATTACACATTATTTACACATTATTTACACACGCTTGTTTCTTTAGATCTTCTTCAGATGCCCATTTAATTTCTTACTTTCCAACTTTCTTCATATTTTCTAGTAGTTCTGTTCATTTTTAATACATATATTATATCCGAAATTATCATCATCACGTTTTATACATCAATTTCAGTAAATTCTGTTTAAAATGTAAACGCTTAAAATCTAAATGTTACGAGAAGAGGTAATGAAACGCTTAGTGTCCATTTTCTCTCCCCCCCCCCCCCCTCCCCCACTCATCCATGTCTGTAAATTCGATTTATTTTATGTATGATGTGCAATATCAATGAATTTTTCATTATTATTATTAGTGTTATTATTTCCTTGAACTATTTTTTTTATTCTTTTCCATATTGATGTAGGCCTATTTGTAATTTTTCTTTATATCTTTGAACATTTCAACTTTGTAATCTCTGTTTGTATCAGTCTCCCGACTGTTTTAAAATGAAATTTTGATTCAATAAATCAATGAATGAAAAAAAAAGCTATAGGCCTACTGTTGAAATTAAATTTTTGTTAAACAAAACAAGCAATCAATGTTTACGGATAAGTGTCAGGAAAGTCGTGATCAATGAGAAAGTGAGAGAGTGAGTAGGAATAACAACAAATTAAGGACATGTATATATATAATATAATCAGCCCCACTGACTTTCCCATTTTGTTATAATGTATTGGCAATTTCCATTATTTTTGCTTTTTACATATTCAACTTTTTGTATATAGTAGTTCTTTACAGCCTGATGCCTACATATTTTTGCTATTTGGAAACTTTGCATTTTTACATAACTTTAAATCATATATTTGACTGAAATCAATACATGGTTTAACATTTTTTCTCTGAAACCAAGTAATTATATCCATTGCATATTAATTACTAGTATAAGAAACTGAAACATTTTCAATTTGTTTCCCACCTCGATCTATATCCTTGACACTTCAGTCTTTTTATAGAAGATATGATAATAAATTTCTGCATCTTTTCTACAAAAGGAAGTAAGGAACATAAATTTGAATGTATTAGTCCAAAATTATTCAGTTTATCATTACAAAATACGAAATGTGTAAAAAGTTGTACGTTGTTCAAAATTAGAATAGCTCCCTCTGTGGCAATAGGTCCTATAGCTTGTAACAAAATTGAAACTAACCAACAAAACAAAACAAAAAGCTAGATGTTACTTGTTAGATTAGATGTGATGATTTCTAATACCGGGTCATGGATTTTGCAAGTATCAAGTCACAGGGACAAGTTATTGATGTTTTTGAAGATCTGTAAGTAATAATGGTGTATTGTATTGACTATAATTACCACAAATTTGAATCGGCCCGCAGTAGTCGGTCCTCGACGGAAAGGAGCTCCACCTCCTCCCAGGCTCCAGCCCGGCGGAGGCGGCGGAGGCGGCGGAGCTCAGCTCCGTATTAAGCCAGGCGTTAGCGTGAGCATTGTCATCGAGTTGGAACGTTTAATATCGTAATTCAGGTCAATTGAGATCTCACAATTTCTAGGGAGATGTTGTGTTTGAAATCGCCCAATCATAGCCAGAATTTATTGAATTATTACTTTCCTGGGACTGGGCTGTGCTGTGAAGAAACTAGAAAGCAAGAAATTGTACACTTGTTATTGTTGTTTGAAACTTCAACAATATGATTATGACTGTGTGAGCTTGCATGCAGAGTCAAAATAATAAATAGACCATGTAGAACTTGTTGTTGTTGAGATTAATGGCGTTTCCATCGTCATTGGATGATTTTCCCCAGGCAATGTGAGAGCGTGTAGTTACTGGCCCTCTCTTAGTACTCTGTTGGATCAACTATAGCCTAGTGGCATTGTGTTTATGAAATTTACAATGTCAGTAAATTTATTGTTAGTAGATCTAGTTATTTTCTGTTTTGTTATGCAGCTAGTTATTTTAAAGAATTAATTAGGAAGGAAAGGATGAAGTGGTTGAATATTAGTTGCGATCAGTTTATTACGTTAGGACTTTAGTTTAAAGCCTCTCTTCGTATAATGAAGCAATTTATACAATTTATATAATGAAGAGCTTTAGCTTACATTTAGGGCATGCACATAACGTTCATCCGATCTCAGCGAATTGCAGCCTCATTTTCCTAAATTGGCGCCTACAAGGGCCCTTCTTATTGGCTATCGCAGGCTGTCATTCGCTCAATGTTATAAGTTGATCAACAGCCTTGTAAACTCTGATCCCACAGTCTTCTTCACATCTGCACCTCATGAAGCTACAAGAGGACACCACACCACTAGAAGCTGTAAAGCACAGAAGCAACACAGCCCTAAGAATAAACAGCTTCAGTCTGTCTGTATCTGTGGCTATCGTAGAGCTCTCTATGATTTTTCTGTTTTTGTGACTGCGAAAATACCTTTCTATTTGGGAACAAGTTTGACTTTTGATTTTTATTTCAAATCACAATCTAATTTGAACTACAAGTCTTGTTAATTTCTAAAATGGAGAACTCTGAGGGACAAGACACCTTATTGTTTTAAATAGAATAATTAACAGTGAATTGTATTTTCTTTCAAATGCAGGTTTCATCAGTATAGTAATTTGACAGAGCTGCCCAAGTTCAAAAAGAGGAAGCTGACGCAAGTAGGAAACTTCAAGGTCTGCAAAAATATCCCAAATTTGTCCAATCCACCCCTTTTGCATCAGAGTAGCATCCAAGCTTCAAGATTAGCAGAGGATCATGGGCAACAGACTGGAAATGTGTCATTACACCCTCATGCTAAAGATCAGGGGAGTTTCTCGAGTGGTGTTTTCAGCATTGATTCTGACATTGATAACCTGAATGATGATGGAGAATGTGGTGATGAATGTCACATGGAAAGCAGGCGTCACCCTCTTGATCAAGTTGAAGAGAACTTCTTGTCATCTGGTAATGATCTAAATTTCAGAATTAATGTATTTTAGGCTGCAGGTTATCAGCAGTTTAGTATTGGTTTTGGAAGCTCCTCATGAAAATAATAGTAATCACGTCACCTTGGGGAACATAGTTTCCAACCAGACCCTCTCATGTCAGTGCATATTTGTATACTATTGTCAAATGACAAAGTCTAAGTACCCACCTGAATGAAGGCATTGCTAAACAAATCATTTGAATTGAGATTCATAGACTTGCTAGAAAATGGGTTGTTGGGATTTGTATCGTACTACGGTCAGTACTTCATAAGGTTGTGTGATTTTGAATACATATACTTCCCCTTGAGCATCATTTTCTTCTTGTACAGACTATTTTGTGGATTTCTTACCATCTGTCATTTGTTGTAGTTCTTTGGGAATTCAAAAGTATCATTGCTATTATGCAAAGGGCTGATGCTACACTTAATGCAAGATATAGTAAAACCTGTCCTGATGGCCACCTCTCTATAAAGGCCACCCGTCTATAGTGGCCATGTATTCTGTCTCCTTCAAGATAAAAAAATGTGTGTTGTAGAACCTGTCTAGTAAGCCCACCTGTCTACAGTGGTCACTTTCTCTGTCTCCCTTGTGTGGCCTTAATAGACAGGTTTGAATGTATATACATGTAACAGCCAGTATGTGCTAGTAGTCAACCTTATGTTATCATTACCCTTACCCTTTTACAGAAGCACCATCAGAAGCTGGTTCTGGTGTTGTAGAACGTCCTCTGCAGGAAGAGGGTAGGCAAGATCATGTGAGCTTGAACCAAGATGGTAATGACATCCCTCAAGAAGGCACTGGAAAACTCACAGATGAGGACATTCTCTTCATGATGCACAAGCCAAGATTAAAGAAGTAAGCCCCAGAATAGTTTGCCAAAAATTAAAACATTTATTGAGATTTGAATGATTCTCCATGCTATTCTTGAAACGTAAAGAAAATTTGCCAAAAGACCAAGTTCAAGTTAATGTTCATGAATTTATACTAGTTTCCACTTTAAAGCCTATCTGCGCTAGTTTGGACAGGAGTGATTAGACCTCCCTGCATGGTCACTGACAGGTGGTTATCTCATCAAATCAGCTCTCAATTAACATAAGAAAAAGGGGATCATGAAGGACCAACGGGTACCGCTTAGGCATTGTTTGCTATGTATATAGAGGGCGCAAGTAGCTACAAGTGGTGCAGTCCCGCTTTAACTAAAGAATAATGAATATACAAAGTGAATTTGTACTATCTACATGTAGAAAGCATATTTGTAATTTTTCAGAATTGATGCTTGTTTAGAGCTGCTAAAACATCATGTCTGCCAAAATCTGTTCTGTGTAAAAAAGAGGAAAAATGTCTTTATCAAATGCTAATCCTGTTATGATGTATGTGTTTTGTTTTCATAGGAGAAGGAAAAAACCACCATGGCAAAAACGCAAGCTTGACCTAGATGACCTGTGGGTCAAGGGTCAACATCTCCAGTGTCACCATAGTAGTGATCAAGAGGAAGAGGTTACTACTAAGCTCTTTTTGGATCGGTAAATAATTTTTCTCTAATCCTGTTATAAAACCAACGCTAGTGCACTTTATGAATTTATTAAATTATAAGACAAATATCGTAAAATATCTGCTTAAATTTGGCCTAAAGAAAGAAGATGTTATATTTTAAAAGTTTTTTTTTTAACCGTTTTTTTTTAGAAAAAAAATGTATTAAAGCATTCAAAACTGAGGAATACCAGCCCAAAGAGGGATTTAAAAAAAAAGAAGAAGATTTCGACCGACAGACCCATGTTTTGGCCCCTAAAGGGCAATACAACATCTTTTTTTTTTGTAGGCCTTAGTGAGTTTTATTACTTGATTTGACTGTCAATCTTATTGAATATAAAACCTATGTCACTACAAACTCAGAAAAAAATGCACTCACTGTCTAAAAACATCTGAACTTTTGAAAAGTCTGCTGCTGTCAGCCCAGCACTATGAAATTACACAAATAATGGGGTTAATGACGTATGTACACAAGGTTAAGTAAAAACAATATTATTAATGATTTACAGGAATCTGAGATGGGGCAAGATCAGCCTTCAGAAATACATCTGTGCAATGAGGAAATCAAGGAAAGGCAGAAAATGGCTGAACAACGGCAGCAGAGGCAACTTAGACAGCAAGAAAAAATCCCTGAAAGACACTTCTCATGAAGACAAGTCCTTTGAAAAGGTGACATCCAATGCTAGACTTGCAACCAAATCACCAAGGAATGAACTTCCAGCAAGTATTCCGCAGAAAAGAACCTTGATTGCAAGTTCAGGAAAGAAAGGTATAGTGAATAGAGAAAAGAAGACGGGAAAGAGAGCTAAAAAATCTACAAGATGGTTTGAAGATGCGCCAGACAATACTTCGGATACATCGGAACAGGATTTCCGTCAAAGATCGGAATTAGAAATATCCAGTTGTGCATTTCCAAAAGTAAACCGTGGTAATGATGTGGCCAGTAGGGCAAAGGAGGAAAAGGGGAAAAGAAAGAGAAAGTCACAGAAAGCGAGTAGAAAGGTCAAGGAATCTAAAGCAGACACAGTTGACTCTAAAGTAAAAGGTAGACTGCAGAAGACCGAAGGCTCAAAGAAATGCAGAGTTTCTGGAGGCAGAAGAGGCAGTTCAACCAGCAAAGGCAACAGTTCCTGGATTGACATTGATAGTGCCAGTGAGCCTAGTGGGGTCACCAGGACACAGAGTGGCAGCGAATGGCTTCCCTCCGACACCACAGGACAGGAGAGCAGTCAAAGCCAGGAGTCTGTCGTCAACTTCATCTGCCTCACGCCGAGGAAATCATGCAAGCTGTCCAGGAGACAACGGCGTGCCGAGGAGAAGAGGAAGACGAATCCTCTGTCCACCTCCGACAGTTCAAACTTTGGTGGCCCTATTAGGGGTGTATCTTTGCACCCTAGGGGTTCCCTACTCCCTGTGACAGACTTTCCTGGATGGGACGATGAGGAAGAGGTTGAGTGCAGACCGTTGTTCAGTCAGGGTAGGCATTGTGGTGGTGTTTGGAACACTATCATTGAGGAATCATCATAAAGAAGAGAGCAAGGGGCAGAAGAAGTCATTCAGAAAATTATTCATTAGACAGCCTTGGGCAGTTCTATACATATTTTTATATTTCTATTCATGTCATTTTCATTTCATGTTTAAAGCTATGATTCAGCAACCCGGATGCTCATTGGAAACATCTTTTTCCTTTCTTTTTTTAAATAATTGAAATTGATTGCACATTTTGATGTAATTAATTTAATACCTGATTTATCTCTTTGTGTATTTCTTGGTTAAATCATTTCAATGTTCTTCATGTTAAAAGCTTGTTTTATTTCACCCAAAAACAAAGAAGCATGTTCTGTTTAAAGTACTGGTAGACATGCATTGAGAATTACAAGTTTGGCTAATAATTTGTCAATATAAACCAGAAAGCTTGCAGATGACAAATGCATAAGTCTTAGGTCAACTGCACATCGGACAATAACAAATTAAACCAAATAAAAGTACCTCTCAGGATCTGGGGTATACGAGTGCTTTGCCAGAAAATGTAGCTATGTTTAGATGATGTCACATGATGGACCAATCCTTTGTAAGCAGACAACATCCTATAACTAATTTTCAGTGTATTTATTTCTCAACTATAAGAGTTTGATTGATTTTAATCATGAACGTACTTCACACCTTTATAAAAGATAAATTTTGCTGATGCTGATAATTATAATTCTTTGTTTAGAAAAATTCAGGACAGGGGTAAATTATCGATGAAAAAATCCCACTGAAATATCAGCCCACTTTCAAAATGAAAAGCCTGTCAAACTACAGAATGGACATTCTTTGTTCCTGATTGAAACACTGCACATGCCATGCATGCATTGGTGCATGTAGCTGAATGTACAATGGCATCTACAAGCCACAGTGAAGCTATAACTGATTTCTTTATTTTTAATTTCAACAAATAAAATCATGTCTGATATTTAGAGTGAGGCAACAGATTAAACAGTTACAATGATGCTGGTGAAGTAAAAGAAATAAGTGAAGAGAAGATGACGAAGAAAGGCACTTGAAATATGTGCATTGTTTGTTAATATGGGATATTGTCTGCTTATATGCTAATTTGGTCCCTTGAGTGACGTCACAAATCTTGGCAGCGTTCAGATAGCTCTTCAAGTGCTGCGGTATTTTACCGTTTCAAAATTGATATTAATTGTTACTTTGAATGTTTCCAAGCTGGGAAATTTGATAAATTTGTTCGATCTAACCTTCCCTAATGCATGATACAAATTACATCATTATTTAAAATTAATGAACCTCTAATTTTAAAAAAAGACTAGAGTTTTGAAATGTTGACTCAGAGGCTTTTTGATTCGTCTGAATTTTTCCAAAGTGAAAACCGATTATTGAAGGTGATAATGCAGTTCATGAACTTTATTATTCAAATGCCTTATGGTTTTTTTTAATAATGAGATGTCTTTACATAGTATGCATAAACATTAGGATGTGTAATACATTTCCCAGTACAGGGAAACCAATCATGTGCAAGTTATCATTTTGAATTAAAATTTCAAAGTGAATTAATTTCAGAAGCTTCTCCAATCTCCATGCTGTTCAGTAATGCCATGCAAAATGTATTTTCAACACATAGCACTATGTGACAAGTCTCTTTCTCAATTTATTATTATTATTTTTTTTAATTTTTTATTTATTTATTTATTTATTTATTTTTTATTTTATTTATTATTATTATTATTTTTTTTTTTTGGGGGGGGGGGGGGTTAATGTTAAAGAATATTAGAGAAAAATAAATGAAATATGCAGTTTACTTGATATTACTTTTGGCTTAAGGTACAAGAATGTTAAATTAAAAAAACATGTAAACATACAAAGATATAAAGGACAATTTTATTTAAATATATTTTGTATTTCAGTGCCAGTATTATGCAATAAATGTACATGTACCTGCGATTGTCGATTGAAAGCTATATGTATTTATCTTTGAATTATTTTTATCTGAAATACATGTAAGTTAATTTTGCCGAACTGGATTTTGTAATATCGGCAGGAGGCTCACATTTTATTTTGTATAATTAAATTGATTATTTTGCCTATATTCTACCTTTGCTTTAAATATGTCACAACTTTATGTTTATTTTGCTTCTGAATATTTTTTTCGACTCAACTTTTCAATGTTACTATTTCTGAATTTCTTCTTTATCCTCCAGTTATCCCTTAAGTAATTCTTCTTTCTCATTCTTCCTCTATTCTTTCTTTCAAACATTCACTCTCTCTTCTCAAGTATTCTCTCTCAATCCTTTTATCAGTACTGAATCAACAAAATAACCAAATGCATGCCACCTTGTAATTTGTAAGATTTCTAATACATGTATAAGCATTATTTATTGGAATATTCTACATACAATATCATAAAAAAGCACAAGCAAACAATATATTTACCTCTTAACTAATTCACTTTAATTATCAAAGAGCATATTGCTTTATAAACACAATCAAATTGATAAATACTCATGTCTACAACATACTTCCAGCATAACTGCCCCGCACATGATAAGCTGCACTACTGACAGTATAATAAAATCACACTGTTATTTACAAATATTTTATACAAAATTACTTTTTATGTTAAAATTCTGCAAAAATTTGATCATTGATTCATATGTTAATACCATACTATAGGCAGGTAGTTTCATACCTACAAATTCTTCAATCTCCAATATGGAGTTAAATCTAATGCTATATTGATCAAATAATTTGTAATATTTTGTAACATAAGATTTTAAATATAATAGTATTGTAACAAACAATATTGAAACAAAAAAATGCTACATATATATATTTTTGTCTGAGTCTACATGTACTGTATTATCTCTACTGCAAGCATGTGACCTCTTACCTGTACCAAAAATACATTTGAAGGAAATCATACAATTAAAAGAAAATTTCATGTGAACTGCTAACTACCACTGACAGAAATTTGCAAGAATGGAAGATATGTGGGAATGTTCCATGCTTAACTTATGAAGTATATGTCTGAACAAACTTATTAATGACGTTTCGTAGTCGAGTTTTTCCCCTTTCATTTTGAACAATGCATCAAAATAATAACATAGAAGTTTACAATCAAATTTCAGCTTATAACCTATGCTCATGCATATTCCCTTTTCCCCTACATGTTTGACACAGAAAGAATGCAAAAAATGCGGTAGTGGAAACTTTGGGGAACTCTTTTTCTACAAAGTAACACTTTTATTTTGAAAATGTTCCTTTTAACAGTATGGTACTATCAAAGCAATCAAAATATCAAAAGCTATAGAAGATACAAAAGGGCACTTCAAAGAGACTTTTATACATGACTTGCTAGGATATGTATTTTGTAAGACAACTACTCTTTTTAGAAATAAGAAATGTTAGTAAAAGAGAAGATGAAATTTGACTGTGCTGCTATTAAAATGGAAGAAGTCTAAAACATTGCATTTAAAAAAAAATTTCAAATGCAAGTACAAGCATGTTCCTGGAAGATTATGCCATTTCTGTCATCGGTGATGATTTCAAATTACTAAAGGATACTTGAGGTGAATAATAATCTTCACAAGGTCATATGCACACTTGCAATACCAAACTAGATCATCTGGCTTGTACAAAAAGGTGGGTGGGTGGGGAGTTGTTGTAACAAAATAGATGCATCGAAAATAATATCGCTAGTGACATTCGTTTGGCTCGTGATATATGGTCAACTAGGGATCAAAAGCGGCGCACGAAACGTCATGATCTTTTGATCCCTTGTTGACCATACATTGCGAGACAAACGAATGTCACTATCAAATTATTTTTCGATATTTTATCCCCAATGAGTAATATATTTAGCATTAAAATAGATGCAGTTCACATATGGGTGCGGTTTCTAGAGAGACACACACCCCGTCCCACAAAATAAAATATAAAGAAATGATAATGAGAGATAGCTAGAGGATGCTTTAGCATTCTAAACTGACATACAGAGAGAAAATTATGACTGACTCTGCTACAAGGAAAAGTCTATTTATTAACACTAGTTTGCATCAATCATTAATAATACTCTGCCATGCCTATATGTGGTTGTCAGTAAGAAACAGGAGGGGGAAAAATTAATGCAGAAATGTACACACAGCTGACTACCGATATTCTTTTCTAACACATGCAAATATAATGTCTACAGTGATTTTGTTGTTGTTATTACTATGATACACTTTATTGCACTGATCACAACTGTGGTGAAACATCCACTGTTCCTCACAGGCCATTTACTTATTTGCTTATATGAATATACATTAGAACAAAATTTGAAATGAAATTTGCATGTTTTATACATAATTTCATGAGCACCTTATCATTGAACTGATACACGACTGACCACCATACAGAAAATCTGCTGCTTGTCACATGTTCTCTTGCATGAACATTTTTAATGACCAAATCTTAAGAAGAAAGTTCAAAGAATAAAGTGCTGACTCATTGACAGGCATGTTTGGTACATGTTCAACTAAGTAATGCTAAGGTCACAAAGGTTCGTACGAATGATAATTTCTTACGAATCTCCGTTTTTCCATTGTCTTCCCAAATTTCCATTGTCTGAAAATTGTTTGTACGGCGTTCGTATTCGTTCGTAATGGCATTTGTGACCGAGGCTTAACCCACTAAAACAACTTCTATCTCCATTCCTCAAGATAAACCAAACAAATACAAAATAATGTTATAAAGATTATATATCCTTAAAAATTATAACATTGCTTTACCAAATAAAACGATGTATACCATTTGGTCAAAATTTCCTAAGTACCAAATATAACACAAAGGAAATAATATGAAAACAAAGGCTATCTTTATGTAAATAATTATGTAATTTACCTATAAGAATAACAACTATTTTCAATTATGATGTCACTAGTAACTAGATTAAAGAAAACAAGATCCTAACAGAATCTGTCTATAGATATAATTTGCTTTAACCTTAAATTTATGTGCAATAGGAGACTCCATTTGTGAATGTCATGAACATATTCATATCAATATGTTCATGACATTCTAAAAAATTTCCAAGCAAATATATGCACATAAGTTTCTCTAAAATGAACCAGACCATCAGAGTGAAAAACAAAAGAAAGATTAATATGAATAGCATGTTCTCCTTTCAAAAAAAGTAATATATGTTTGAATGTCTCTTGTTATATATATATATATAACAAGAGACATTCAAACATGTATTAATGTCTCTTGTTATATATATAAACTACGGCGGTATATTTTTCAAATCTAAATATATTTTGAGATCATAAAAGTAAAGAACTGCACAGAGATAAGAAATCGAACTCTGCATCAAACCTAATTATTGAAAAAAAGATTTAAGAATATTGAATTCTAACCTGAATCTAAAAGTAAATATACATTGTAGTTGAAAGTTTCATGTTCTACCAGTTAATATATCGTGTCTAGTTCAATCATAAATCCATTCTCTCTTTCTCTCTTCCACATTGCAAAAAGTGCAGAAATTATTAAATTAAAACCAAAGTATTTCAACTATTATATTACATTGTTTGGCTAAATCATGCTACTGCTCAAAATCATATATTCTATAAATTCTTAGATCTTACTTTAATAAACATATCTAGGTAATTACAAGCCAGAAAATCTTGAAATGCGTAGATACTTTTTCAGCATATATAACAGAAATAATTTTTCAAATAATTATTTTTTCAAAGTGTAATAATCACATAAAACAAAATATTGAGCTCCTGCTAATTCTTCATGTAGTTTGCATCAACGTGTGTGATGTTTTGAACAACTGATTACGGTACCATAAAAAGCTTGAATTTAGATTTCAAAATCCGAGCTTACGGTTGTACCTTCCAGATATTGAAGAGAGAGTGATCCTTTTGATAATTCAATTGAAGACAGCGGTGTATAAACAATGTAAATAAAATCTTTGATAGATGCAGTGCATGATGGGTAGTTGGTGGACACACCCATGCTCATAATCTGTGGTGGTTTGGATGAGAAAAAATGTTGGGAAAATGTGAAAAAGAGAGAAAATTAAAGAACAATGTATCATCATCTCTGACATTCCACTGTAAAATTATAGCAACAATGCAGTATCTGAAACAAGGAAGGAGAGAACACTCAAGATTTAAAAAAGGATTAAAAGAAAAAAAGATGAAGACATCCATGAGTTATCATAACACAGCTGAAATTGTGAATAAGTACAATTACACAATTATGAATAAGCACATCAAAAATGTTCCCCTTGCAACTAAAACATGTTATTTGACATTAAAATATTTCAGATAATTATTCATGCAGAGGATTTAAAGCTGAAATACAGTTGTGTCGAGATCCTTTCTATAACCTTGGTCTAATCCAAAAGTATTATGAAATAACCCACATTATGAAAAATGTGAGAGGCCCTACTTTGCGAGAAATATGACATCATCGATGATTCAACAAATACTGATCTTGTGAAAAAAAGGAAATAGAAGGAGAAAGTATAACATCTATATATATATATATATATATATATATAAAGGGAACTAAGCTCCGCTTGTAATGTATGCAGGGTTTTGGAGGTGTCCCATACTCTACTCTATTTGTAATGTGACTTTAAACTGAGCACACTCTTAAACTGTCATTGGTGACACAAAGATATCCCTCTGTTTATCTGATTTGTGGTGTAGTACCATAATACTACTTGGAGATAAAGATGCTTATAATGGACTAAATTGAACAGAACTGAACTGGCAAATATACGAATAAAATAATAGTTACAAAATAAAACATAAATTCTTGAGTATACATGAGGAAAATATATTTCAGACAATGAAATTTCACTAATTGACAACAAAATATGAATATAAATTTGTTTCATTCAATACTACTCTATTCTACTACAACAAATGTATCAGTACGCATGCGTATAATCTGAAAATGTGTATCAGTATATTATCCCTGTACATGTTTATGTTTACAAAAAGATAAAGAGACATATAAATATTGAAAGGAAATAAAATATGTTCAAATTCTCTTTACATAATTATTGAGGCAATGTTTATTTTAATGTGTATACACACATTACCTTGCATAAGAAATGCATATATTTATAATAACTTATTTTGTTCACTTCATATTTCTTTTTTTTCTTCTTATTATTAATAGTGGTACCTAAATAAAATATTATACTAATCATATTAGCATATACTTAGTTTATAACAACAAACTTTTACTTTCCATATTGCTTCTAAATAATACATTGGTAAACAATAAAAAATGTTAGATTTTCAAAGATGTTTTTGATTTCCTAGCCTCATTAATAACAACCAGCAAAATATATATAACACACTTCAAATCTGCTATCACGTATACTGCTATGTAGAAATTCTGGGTACCGTATATTTTCTTTGCTATATACATGCATATATATCAACATTCATGAGGTGTAACACACGGATTACTAAATCCTGAGAATTTATTACATTTTTTCTTCTAATTCTAAACAATACTCAACATCACTAAACATATTGACACCTGTGGTTCTACATGATACACAAATCATTCCAATGCACTAGTTTTATAATGATTCTAACTCTAAATTGTGTACAATGTTTATTGAAACAAACATATATATAAATGTATACAAACACACTAAAAGCCAGGCAGCGCTGACATACAGCCCAACACAGGTACGCAGCTAACGTCTAGTAGACTGTACAGCGGAGGTCACAACACTGGACACAGGTCACAGACAGAGGGCGTGCTACCACATTGAACACATTACCGGTGGAGTACAGGGGGTGAGAGGTCCTTCTTCTCAAAGTATTCTGACACTTGCTTGGGCACCTCAGCCAAAACACACCTGGCTAGCTGAGCAGGAGAAGCCTAAAGATTGAAACAAACAAAAATCAAATGATTATTGAAATAATGATCTGAATTATGAAGCACAGACCTAATGTAAAAAAGAAGAAAATGTAGTAAAAGATTAACTTTCATTACCTTGTATTGTGTTAGCTTGCATTATGACCGGGGTAATAATATATCTGTAAAGCGCTTTATAGAGACATCATCAATGTATTAAGTGGTATATAAAAGCGGAATATTATTATCGTTACTTGTTACCTGAGTATCGTCTTATAAAGACTTGTGATTGATCCGAATCAAACGCAAGCCTACAGTCCCCTATCTTTTATGTACAATATTAGACGCAAATAAGTTGTGATTAATCGCAACCTTTTATAAGCCAGGGCCCTGGTATCATAAATCTTTTACAAACTGTTTATTGTTTACATGGAAAACTGACACTTATCACAGGTAACAAATTGAATACACATCAAAGATGAATAAGATTACTTATTGGTTTTTAAGTTATATGTACATATACTGTACAACAGAATACCAGTAGGTGAACAAACACACAGAAGAATAGATGGGTATAACCCCAAAAGACGATGCATCTATGACAATCTTTTCATCTCTTCATCATAGGAATCCTGCAAAGTGAATTTTTGTAATGACCTTTAAAGACATGCATATAAAGTGTCTTTCATTGAATGTAAGAGGTCTGAGGTTTTTTTCTTGGCTCCAAGAAAAACGGGCAGATATTATTTTGCTCCAAGAAACTTATAGTTCTCCAGACAATGTTAGTGCTTGAGCATCTGAGTGGAATGGTGATTTGTTTTTTTGCATGGTTTTGTACATAGTAGAGGGGTTTTGATCACAAAAAAAACAACTGTTGAATACAGTGTCGTATCTAAAATAATTTCTGATAACGGAAGGTATTTGATATTAAAACTAGTTATTGATGGAAATGAGTCTATAATATGCAATGTTTATGCACCAACTTGAACTGCAGATAAAAGAACAGAGCAAAGAGTCTTTTTCAAACATTTTGTTACATGACTAAACTCAATTGAAGATATAGATACAATTCCAATTATAATGGGAGGTGACCTTAAGGATATAAATCTTGACAGACAAGCTGGGCACCCCCAGTTTTCCCAACAGGTTGTCAATGCACTTAATGAGATGCAAAGTGAATTAGAAATCTGAAGAATAAGAAATCCTACAGCTAAAAAGTTTACATGGAAACGGTTACGGCCTTTAATTCAGAGCCGCTTAGATATTTGGTTCATTTCTGAGATCTTACAAGGCTATGTATTGAAGGTTGACATTATTCCAAGAGTAAGCTCTGACCGTTCTGCTATTGTTTTAGAATTAAAAGTTCAAAACAGGAAAAAGGTGAATGCTTTCAATTGGAAATTCAACAATGATTTATGCAATGATGATTCGTTTTGCTCTAAAATGTCAGAAAACATAGATAAATGGATTGACGAAATAGTCCCATTTGAAGATGTTCATATGAGGTGGGAATTTTAAAAATATCAGATGCGTTTATTTTCGAGACAATAAAGCATTGAAAAGGGAGGAAATATTAGAAGAGTTGATTAAGAAATTTAAAAAAAAATGTTTACTAGGTTTACTTGAAGAAGACGGTGATGCACACATTGAAGAATATGAGCGTGTCAAGTATGAATATGAGTCCTATATGGACAAGCTAACTCAGGGTATTATTATACGCTCAAGGGTGAACTGGAGTGAGTTTGGAGGAAAAAATACTAAATATTTTGTCAACCTGGTAAAAGGCCCCAAGAGCAGATCCTTGATCTTCTTGCTGTCATTTCCGATAAGAAGAAAGTCAATGAACATATAAAATAGTTTTATACAGAGTTATATAAAAAAAAACAGTGGTTAACTTTGAGTTGAATTATATGTTTTTAGAATAGGAAAATCAACCTAAATTGTCTGCAAGTCAGCAACAAAAATGGGACCGTAGTCTATCATTAAAAGAATGCACACAATGTTTTCTTTTAACGGCAACAAATAAGTCTTCGGGAAATGACGGCTTAACAGTCGAGTTCTATTGTAAGTTTTGGAAACAAATTGGACAATTACTTGTAGACACACTCAATTTTTCTTTTGAAAACAGACAATTTTCTACTTCACAACGGCAAGGGCTAATTACTTTGATTAAAAAAAGAGGGAAGGATAAGCTTCTCATCGAAAATTATCGCCCAATCACTTTGCTTAATGTCGATCTGAAAATAGGCTCAAAACCGTTTGCTGTGAGACTTAAAGTAGTCTTGCCAGATTTAATACACCCAGACCAGGTTGCTTTTCTGAAAAACAGATATATCAGTGAGTCAGTGATAACGATACTTGACGCCCTTCATTATTCAAAGTCAAAGAATATACCAGGGATTCTACTTAGTTTATACTTTCAAAAAAGCATTTGACTCCCTCAAACTTCCACACTATTATGCTTCCTTTAAGCCCCATTCCAACTCTAACTATAGATGGTATTGTTAGAACTTCTGTTGATGTGTCCAAAGGACAAATGTATTCTGTGTGTATGCAAACTAACAATCCATCTATTTCGTCTACTTTCGCCCACCTCAATAATATGTACAGCCTTCATGATTCCACCGCTGTTGAGCTTTTTAAATTGTCATTTATGCTCACGATAGATACAAAATTAAGAATGTTTCAGTTGAAAATCATCCATAATCTAATACCAACTAAAGTCTAGTTGGTTCGTATTAAGAGAATTGAAAATGCAGCTTGCTACTTTTGTAATAATGATGATGAAAATCTGGAACACCTTTTTTGTTTCATGTAGACTTATAGAACAGTTTTGGTTACGCCTAAGCAGAGCTTTTTTCAGTACTTTCTCCCCCCCCCCCCCTCGATTTTGTTAACTAAAAATATCCTGTTTGGGCTGACCCAGCTTGTCAAAGTAAGAAACGTTTCCACCATTAATTTCCTGCTTCGGTTAGGAAAGCAATATATCTTTAAGTGTAGGATTACAGAAAACATGCCCAACGTTCATCATTTTGTACATGATGTTAAATATTTTCAGATGGTAGAAAGTTTTTTTGCTGAAAGACGCAACAAAATAGATAGGCACAATGTAAAATGGCGCTTAATTTCCGGAATTTTAGAAAATAATCCTATTTAAGCAGTTTAGCAGATGATAGAACACTGACAGAAATCCTATTTTGTTCTAGGGAGGGGGAATTTTGACGATCGCTGATGTTTTCTATTCTTTTTAATGTAGATCCTTATGATTTCTTCTCAGATTTATTGTTGTTACATGGATATAAATGTCTGCATATTTGAATGTTGAATGTAAAAATATTATTGGATCAATAAAAACTTATCAAATATTAAAAAAAAAAATCATAGGAATCTAGATGGACTGAAAGAACTTTCAAATGGATAGATATTATTTTTTTAGAACAAAACTATAAAACCTGATGATTGGGAGAAAACCAATGACAACAACAGCGAGCCAAACAAATTGGGACGCATATACGAGTCTTGAACCTTCACCCTGGTCATTGAGGGATATTGAGACATAGAAAGTATGCCTCTGGACCTACCTGCTTGAAGTCTCTGAAGGGAACAAACTGGACGATGTCTCTCGCCGTGGGCTCACCACTCGGCGACTTCAGGGTGCCGTCATCGCCGTCCAACATCCTCATGTCGGTGAAGTCTGCCTCGCCAATGCCCACGATAATGATGGACATGGGAAGATGGGAAGCCTTGACGACCGCATCCCTGGTCTCGTAGATGTCCGTGATGACACCGTCCGTCAAGAGGAGGAGGATGAAGTATTGCTGTCCAAGAAACAGAGAGAAGGAAAAGGTTAACCTTCACTTATTAATCCTTAATGCCTCTATATTTCACAATACCAGACTCTTCCCGATATCATATTTATGCGGATGATATTCAAATACTCACTTCATTTGAAGCTAACCAAAGCAATGCAGCCAGTGCTATCCATAATCTTGAGGCTTGTGTACACAATGTTCATAATTGGTTCGAATCATTTTTATTGAAACTAAATCTTACAAAATATGAATTTTTATTGTATGGTTTTGAGACTCAGTTAGATAAGGTATCCATTACTTCCATTACCCTGGTTTGGCAAAACGTTACTGTATCTCATGTATGTTGTAACCTTGGTGTTTATTTTTTACTCCAACATGGCAATGTCTGTACAAATTCAATACGTCTCTAAATCAGTCTGGTATTAGTTGAATTCATACGTAAATAACTGACTTGCAAAGATCCGATAAGTGGAAGCCATTTTGAAGAAAGACTGATTCATTCAAAGCAGTTGGAGATTGGTTTATTATACTAGTATACTATATAATTTCTATTAAAGATAAACTTGAGTTCTGGTAAAAAAAGAAAATGAATTCTCACAGAATTTAACGAAACTTACACTGAATGTTCAAGATTACAAATAAATGTCATGTGCCAAACAATTTTTAAAGAAAATGTATACTGGCTGAGTAATGAGCATAGAAAGACAAGGAAATCAGGGTAGTACTAGCCCCGACACCATGCGTGTTGTCCCATATACATCTTTCTATGTAAGTGATTGTTACTTTACCAAGACTCTGCCAAATTTATGATGATTTTGATGACTCCAGAACCTTGCATTACACACCATTACTTACATGCTATATGATCAACTTTTCTGATCCATTCCACACCTTTTCTTTCACAATGCAATCGCATTACCAGAACTCAAGTTTATCTTTAATTTCAAAATGAGCATGATCAAATTCCCTCATAAATGGAATAAACAGAAAGAACTCAGCTGTCACACACACACACACACACACACACACACATGTTTGTGATGTAAATCAAGGACTCGTGAAACACATCAGTATGTTATTTCATATTCGAGGATACATATTTTTGTAAAAATATTACATCCCAAGGATGATCTGGAAATTTCCTACATAACGGAGGACCTACAGTATTTTTCCCGTGCAAAGAGAGCACCAAAATAAACATGCCCTTTATGAAATGGCTTCAAAATTCACTGGGTTTTCGAACCAAGGACGTCCTCGTTTTGTAAGTGGTCGTCAAAGTGAAGGTGCACACATCTGCACACACCCACATATACCCACACCACACATTACAACAAGGAGATGGAGTATCATATGCGAGCTTCTGAGCTTACCGACGCTGTCTTATTCTCATTAAGAGCTGCGTGGGCAAACTTGGCAACATGGTTGATGATGGGTGCAACGTTTGTAGGACCCCACAATGATACTTGCCGAATACACGACTGGTAAGCTGCTACGATACCATGAATGCCTGAAGAGGACAAAGAGAAATTATTCAATCATTTACTACATTAACTTTTAAAAAGACAATTTACAAAGAAGGCTCTATTTCAACTGCAAAGAACAGAAATAAAAAAAGTTAACAAAACAGTATAATTACTTGAGTGATTCTATGACAACATTTCTTTTTTTTCCAGCAACACATCCCCTTTAATTTAATTAACTGAAAATCAAACATTCTGATTTATCTCTTACCTATTGCAGTCTTAGTAGGGGAGTCTTAGACCATTTTTTAATTGGGGAGGGGGGGGGGGGCTGTTGGACAAAGCTCAAGATAAGTTTATAGCCAAGTATTTCTGAACAAGCAAAATAAATAAATGCCACTAATACTTGGAATTTAACAAATAGGCTAAAAAATTAAAAATTCACTGACATAAATTTTTGAAAGAGGCGTAGGAAAGGTTTCACCACCGTCCCCTAGCAATGTCCCTACAGTCTATCAGCCTAAGAATAAATCCTTTAGTTCCCTAGAAGAGACATCTGTCTTTGATCTTTCTAATTTGTATTCGACTGAAATGTACTAGAGAAAATAGGTTCACATCAAAAGTAGATATTGAAAGCTGTAAATGGTTATCTGATAAGCTTGAGCACTATGCTAGCTATTAGCTATAATCATGGGGAAAATACTGGAGCACCGTGGACTTGAGCTCGAAACAAAAAGACATTATTATCATTGTCATTTCTAGAAAAAAATATCTCAAACATGATACTTAACTCACCTGCACAGAAAGGGTTGTTTGGCTGGAAATTGATAGGGAATTCATGTGAAACAGTTCCATTGGGTGGAATCTTGGCACCAAAACCTAGCGCTGGAAACAACTTATCACTGTGGATGTGTGTGATGAGAAAAATTAGAAATACATGTGATCATCTAAATGCTAACTTTATTGGAGGAGCTCGCGCCTTTGAATGTTTTTTAAACAGATATATTGTGACATAAAAATGCTGTGAATCATCATCATCATCATCATTTTATTTCTTTCTTGTTACTATGTCTTGTGTATTATTAATACTAATTTTACTACTAATTAATCCTGATGCAACCCTTACTTCATGTATTATTGCTATTGGCACTACTTTTACTACATCTACATACTACTACTACTACTATTACTACTAATATTATTACTACTACTACTGTTACTACTACTATTACTATTAATATTACTACTAGTCTACTATCCTACCACTACCAAATACTAGCACTACAACTTCTACTGCTCACCTGTCAGTCTTGCATTACCTCACCAACCGACATGTTCGCTTGTGTATATTGGTAAGGTGACTGCTGGCATGCCACTACTACTACAACACCTACCACTACCACTACAAATACAGCTACCACTACTACTACCATTTCAACTTCCACCACCCACCTATCATAGTCTTGTATGACTTCGCCGACAGACACGATGGCTTGCGTATATTGGTTAGGTGACTGCTGGCATGCCACTACTACTACAACACCTACCACTACCACTACAAATACAGCTACCACTACTACTACCATTTCAACTTCCACCACCCACCTATCATAGTCTTGTATGACTTCACCGACAGACACGATGGCTTGCGTATATTGGTTAGGAGATTCCAGATTGATGAAATGTAGAGACGACTCCTCGTTGGGGTCACCATTTGACCCGGTGAAGTCGATACCCACCTACATAGAGGATACAAAGGAATACAGGGTAAATTCACACATACAAATTTAATGTTTCTTTTTTTTATCAAATAAACTTTTTAGCAAAAAAATCACATCAGAATGAGAGCTTCGAGAGGTATTCAATGTTGTATGGTTTAGATATATTCAGGATTCTGTCCAAGATGGTACAATGCTCAAAACTATTTGACAAGATAAAAAAAGATGTGCTTGTAAGGAATGGTAGGTTGGATTTGGAAGGGGATGAATTGTGCCCCCCCCCCCAACCATCCGCCAGTAGTATGGTTTGAACTGAGGACTTGTTAAAGCAGGAATAACCACTAGTACTCACTGTGAAGTTGATTTGGCAGCCACCCAGGATGTAATCTAAAAATGTGTACACTCTCTTCACCTATAAAAATGAAAGAGAAAAAGAAGAAAACACAGAATGAACACAACAATCAGCAAATATTGCCTCCAATTACTTCTATATGTACCTCTGAAAGTTCCAGTACATGCAGTAAACATGTACATATAGGTGTCGTGGATGAGTGGATACGTCGCTGGACTGTCGATCACAAGGTCCGCGGTTCGAGTCCCGCCGCGGCACTAATGTCCTTTGGCAAGACATTGATCTACATTTGCCACTCTCCACCCAGGTGTTAAATGGGTACCGGTAGGAAGGAATTCCTTAAAATGCTGTGAGCGTCAAAATCGGCAGCCTAGCATAGCCGGGTAATGTTGGAGCGCCTTGAGGACCTTGCAAGGTCGATACGTGCGCTATATAAGAATCCAATATTATTATTATTATTATATCATGCCAGAGAAGAATAGTTTCTATGTTTTAATGTGGACAATAAAACATGTTTATACATGAGGTCTGTTCAGAGCAAGAAGGGCATTTACTCAGTGTTGAAGTATATCAGTTAACGCCCTTCTGGCTCCAAACAGACAATAAACTGAACAAAACATGATCCAAATACAACCTCCCTCATTCCACCGCCAAAAACGATTCAGTACATGCAGGATACATTGTATGTATCTTATGCAGGTGGAGGAATTTTTTTCTGTTTTTAAAATGACAATAAAATGTATCTGAATGTGAATAAATACAATTCATCAATAAATATTATGTGTGTTCCCTAATTAATTACTTTCTAGGCAATAAATGCTAAGCTGCCTTTGTACAACAAATATTGATGCTGTTCAACGTCATCCATTCTATGACTTTCCCTTTGCCGACTTCTAGTGATATAAAAAGCCCTAAATACATCCCTAAAATTGGTAATAAATATCACAAATAAAACGCACTTCTTAGAAATAAATCCATGTATTAGGCTAAAAAGTGACTCATAGATCCCTAAAATACCTCCAGAGTTGATCATATACCACGCAAATTCCCAACTAATCATGTGGGTGTCCATAATTACTTATCGTCATGGTGACAACATGCTCCGACTATCCAGCATTACGTCCGTACGTAGGGCACCAGCCAATATATATATCGTCGTAAATCAGAACTGCTCTAATTTAATTTCATACAGGTTTTTTGTTTCTTTGCTTTTTATCTGTGGGCAGCCTTTTTCGTTTATTAGCTTGCAGTTGTATGACAAGGACAAAAAAGGCAGCAAAGATTTATGGTTTATTTTATGGATTAATCAGGACAAGTTGTGCTCATTTCAGTGATAACCGAAAGTGATAATATATCTTCAGCTACCAAGTAAAGCAGTGAAGATAACATGTATACACTATTTCCAAAGATTTACTCAGTTGGACACCATGTTTACTGGTTTATATCAGGCCTTTTTATGACTTGTTCTGTTTATCGGTTGGCGGAGGGTTATTCTGCTTTTCAATTTATATCTCGCCACTCACTGGGAGTATACATATAAATCATCCCAGGCAAACTATACAGATGACCACTGATTCATTGTATCTTTTTCTTTTGAATTAGATCAAAGTACACCGTGACAGAAAATGTGACTTTTAAATCTATAAAAATACAAAAATCTTGTTAAACTTGCTAAATTTTGATAGACTAGCCTGGCAAAATTTGGAAAATAAAAGTAAAGAAATATCAATGCTTCTAACACTGGCATAACAAAAAGCTAAAACCAGAATTTGAACAAAACTTGCATTAATATTTAATCACAAAAATTGCAAGGATAACACATACAAAACGAAAAAAATACAAAAAGGATATCCAATAGTAAAAATACCTTCTACTAAAATTAAGTAAGAAAAATTGTAAGGATAAAACAACAATAACAACAAATGACATTATAAGGCAAAAAAAAAAAAGGAAACCCAAGAATTAAGCTACCCTCTACTAAAAATATAATTTTTAATGCCCAAATGGCTTGAGTAACGGTCATGTGCCCTCTTGCATTTTAATGGCTGTCCGATGCAGTAAAGCTATTTAAATGACTTCACACTTTTGGGAAATATCTTCACAACTTTGGACGCAGACACCCTTCATTCAGCTTTCTCACTTAGACGTTGAGAGAAGAATGACACCGGAAAATGACCTTACACCTTGATCTGTGAGGCGAATATGATTTTTTTAAAAACTCGATTTGTTAAGTGCTGAGTTTCATTGTGTGTGTTGTACACAGAATTAAGAGATATAAGTAACACTCATACACATTTATATTATGACTCTTCTTTCTTTTACAGTTTCATGTCTTTTATCGGCAGAGTGCACAGGTTTATCAATAAATATTCTCTTCATACTGATCTTTTCAAACATGAAAGCAACGTTCTTCATATACAACAAAATAACAATATACCCTTTCATACTACTTTGAATAGATGCTACTCCCCTTCTAAATTTCTCTACCAACCACTTTTAACTCTTCCTACCAATATGCCCCGCCCTTCTATCTCCCCTTTTAACTACCACTTTGAACTCTTCCTACCAATATGCTCCTCCCTTCTATCTACCCCTTTAACTACCACTTTTATTTTACTTTTCTTACCAATATGCTCCGCCCTTCCGTCTACCCCTTTAACTCCCACTTTTAACTCTTCCTACCAATATGCTCGGCCCTTCCATCTCCCCCTTTCACTACCAATTTCAACTCTTCCTACCAATATGCTACGCCCTTCTATCTACCCCCCTTTAACCATCATTTTTAACCCTTCTTACCACTATGCTCCGCCCTTCTATCTACCCCCCTTTAACCATCATTTCTAACTCTTCCCACCAACATGGCCAAGTGCTACTTCCATCAATCCCCTCTTACACTCAACCAGCACCCCTCAGCTTCCACCCATCACCACCACCACCACCACCATCATCACCCCAAAGCCTCTCTCATGCCGGGTCACAATGCTGCCCTATCCGCCACACACCTACGCATTACGTCCAATGACTCACTAGGCTATTTACGTCATCTCGACACCAGCCCTCATTAGGTATTCATGACTACCCATCCGCAGTGTCAATACTCCTAGGTCAGCCAAGACTGGTGGTCCGGCATCAAAAACTCAATTTCTTTAATATCTCTTTCCAGGGCAAAAAGTTTGTTTTGGGCTGGAATTGGTAGAAAAGCTATAAAACAACATTATTTCTCAAATAACTGATATGGCCTTCATACCCATATAAGTATGACTCAAACCTCTAATTTTGTCCTCTTGTGTTTAATTCAAATTCTGCTTTTACAAAAACTGCTTTAAAAGTTTTCTAATTAATCTAATCTTGTTTATGGACTGATAAAAACTGATGAGAACCGATCATTACAAATTACAGGCAGTAATTGGTTTGTAATTCATTAATATGTTCTGTTGTTTTTTTAAATTATTTTTCTATCCATATTTCTGCAATTTTGGATCAATTAGAAACATAGCACAACATACATGTATATTTCTTACTTTAAAATATTTCTTTTAATGCATCAATCATCAATTTTTTAATTGATTTTTTTTAAATCAGAGAAGAGCAGCAAGCGCACAATTATGTAAAGTTACAAGATTTAAACTGCAGTCCATATCGATTATACAAATGGAAAAGAAATGATAATTAAACTGGAAAAAAATACATGTATATACTTTCCAGAGATGAAAGAAAGTATGACTTACCTCACAAGATCTAAGAAAGATAAGGCCGGAGTTCTGGTAGTTCTTCTTCTTTGCTTTCTTCTTGGGATTAATGCACTCCCATTCCACCTAAAGGAAGGACAGGGTTGGACATTGGGGAAAAAATATCAAAATGAGAACACTTTTTCTCATAATGCATCTCTCTCAGACGCTCATATGTACCTTACCCTCCATCCCTTCTTTGAATTATTTCAAAATTAAATTAGTATTATGCATGACTTCTAAATGCAATGAAATATATCCTAATTCAAATGGCTAGAAATTAAATGTTCTTTTCAGTATTACAAAAGTGTGTATCAAACATTTTCTGCAGATTTTTAATATTTAATGTCCTACATCTTTGCAATAAAATGGGTACAAAGTGTACTTATCGAAACCCTAAACTAGGCTTTGTTGAATTTAACATTGTCTTTACTCTATCTCTACTCTATCAAACTGTGAAACAGTTCTCAGTACTTTAAACTAATGTCATATATGAAGAAGTGTCTTATCATTATGGACTGTTGGCTTATCAAATCTGTTCTTAGATTCATCCCTGTTCATTTTTTCTACATCTTTTTATGTTGATAAAAAGTATCATGTAGCACTTGTGTAATTCTTGCATATTATCACTTCCACAGTATCATAGAGAGAGAGAGAGAGAGAGAGAGAGAGAGAGAGAGAGAGAGAGAGAGAGAGAGCAATTTTGTAGTAAGTAAATCAACTGATGTAATCTGTAATTTCAGAAGAAAACTATTAATAATCAAACAATCAAATTTCTTGAGTTCAGAAATACTCAATCATATTTTAGAATCATTCCATATTTATAATAGAACAATACAATGTATGTCAAACATACTAGTGGTAAGTGTATTTTCAAATGGTTACTACTTTAATTCAATGAAAAGCCCAAACTTGTCTACTCCATCTATAATGTCCCATGCATGGTATGGCATGAAAGAGCATGGAAGAAAGTAAACAGAAACTACCTCAATTCATGCAATAACTTTCTGGTGATAAATGTACAATGTACATAAGTGCTACATGATGGCTTGTGATGTTTCACAAAGACTGCCCTCTATCCGATAGCGATGGTATAATGTTTGATGAACATGTATTGAGCATGAATGAAGGACACAGTTCTATTTTAGTCAACAACTAATGAGAATCATGATATGATTCAATGAATGTGTGAAAATAGAGATCCAGTTAACGGAAATGGTAAAGAAAAAGATGTCTTTTGATATTATGATGGGTAGGAAGTAGTATTAAAGAAGGAAGCACACATTCAATGGTGTAAATCATATTTCTTTGAAGAGATAAGGAGAAAAAACTTTTTTAGTATTAAATTAAGTTCTTGACTTAGTAATTCTGCCACAATGGAATAACCAACTTCTGAATGACTCTGTACAAGGCTCTGAAAAATATTTACTTGCAATCCTACAATGGTATCAGCAAACATCACTATCATTTTATTTTTCAATAGTTCCCTAAATAACTTACTTCTTTGATAATCACAGTATAATCCAGCCATAAAATATGGACACTTCAATTAATGTGCATTGAGACATATCAATTTGTGTTAATATTTGGCTTAAATTCTGGAGTGTACACCATGGCAAAAAATTGTTTCAGAGGATTTTTGGGGGAGATATATAGAGTTTTATGAACACATTTAATAAAGCATTAATTTTTTTTATGCTCACCGATATATAATTTAATTGATATTTTTAAAAAACCCAGATGAATAATTTGTATTTGATGAATTCGTCCTTGTTTTCACGAAGTGACAGTAGTGAGGAAAATCGTAACGCAAAGTGAATGCAATTATTTTTCACTACCGTCACTTCGTGAAAACAGTGACGAATTGTCAAGGGTTTATGTAAAAAAAAAATAGTAAGGGGAATGTTATACATGTATTTTTTTGATGATCTTTTTTGGGTTTAACCTAGTGTAAATTTGACTTGAGTCTAATTATTTGTTTTACAATTGACATGGGATTAACAAAAGACAAAGTTGTGACATAACAGAGTACTTACATACATGGAATTTTCCTTGGCTGAGATATGAATCATCAAGATTTTGTTCAATTAAACCACAAAAAAAATACTATTCCTCTAAAAGCGCTTACTATCACATTTGGGTAACAAATAACGACTTTTAAAAACAGAAAACAGAAAATGCATGGCTGTCTTTTTGCAAGTTACAAATTTGTAATACCCTGTAGGATATGGTAACAAAACAGAATGTAAATCAAGGTACAATGTATTATTTAAATTCTAAAAAATATTCAAAACTCCAGTGCACAGGTGCAGTATCATTTACAGCTTTACAAATTGATAATTCAATAGATATGTAAAGAGATCTAAAGAGATACCGCTTACTCCTATTCTTTAATATATCTTTTCTCTAGAATACAAATTTCTGATATAATAATGATTCAGAATAATGTGAAGGGGAGGGGTGGGTGTATTCAGTCCAAGATGCAATGAGTGCACTGCAGATTGGAAAGACGGGGTGGGGGAGGGGTAAGGGGTAGGGTGAACCCACACAATACCAACACATTTTGGAACAAAACAACTTACTATCACCACTTGTTAAAACTCAAACTCACAAAAACACTTGTTAGTGACTTAGATACAAAAAAACATCAACAAATGTTTCAAAGGGAAAAGTCAACCACATGCTACAAAATATGACAAAAATGAGACAATAAAAGTGACAGAAAAACGAAATACTGAGGGATGGGGGCACAGCAAACAAACAAAATATTAAGAGTTTAAGTGCGAATATCACTGTTGATAAATCAATGCTTGAACATAAAGTCATTTCCTTCTCGTTCAGCTACAAAATGTAATCCGGAAATGAAAAATATGAAGAATAGGGTGTTAAGAGGTGTTTTTGACTCAAATTCAAACGGACTTTCAGAAACAAAGGAAAAAAAAATGCATTGCTACGTGGTACAATTTTGCACATGTATTCCGAGGGATAAACCCCACCTAAATTAAATGAAATATTTCATTTACATTGCGCTTTAATAATGGAAAAAATAATGAAGATTAATACATGAAAAATGTCTAAAAAATAAAATAGCCAAATAAAGACTGATTGGGCGCTGATATTCCTATTAAGGTGCACTGGAAATGAACAATGTAAACCAAGTACAAGACAGTAACGTTTGAATGTACATAGTACGGCAGAGCACTCTCTGACTTTGAGCTTGCGATTACCATCTAATCTCAAAGAAAGACTGGTGTCAGACCCTTTCTTTGCTGCACACCTAGTACCACTCAAGGGGTCAATGTCAAATGGCATTAGTGCTGGAGGGAGAAGAAGATATAGAAGGGGTCACCCATCGATTTGTCATTGAGTGGAGAAGAGCAAATGCCTTGGTGCACCTGAGCAAACAATCGAGGGCCGGCCGCTCAGCCGCCATCGACAACAATCGGCCGGGATGAGAATATGGTGGATGCAAGGATACCAGACGTTAACTAAGGAGAGATGCTAGCAAGAGTGAGGGTAGATTTGATGGACTGCAGGGAGCATGTCAAAAAAGACCTGATGGAAGTCTTGTTAAGTGAAGAGTTGTAAATGAGAAGTCATATGGTTTGAAGAGAGCAGGAAAGTTGTTAACTGATATCATTTAACATAGTAGGATCACCCCTTTCTGGTTCTTAACTAACAACGAGCAAGAAGACATGACTTACAAAAGCCAAACCAACTCTCCCAAAAAGGGGAAGGATGTCTCAATGACCTTCTTGCAGTGACTTCTAACCTGAATGCTTGAGGTACCTCCATGCATGTCTAACTACTGGTGGAATTTTCCAGACTGTTTCACAAGTCTGGGTTTATATGAAGACTTCTCTTAATTGTGCACCTGCCCCCAATCTTAAGTCTTTTGCATTATTTAAAGGTAAACATCACCAGATTCTAGAAAATTAGAGTCAATGGTAAGCTCTCACTCATTTAACTCTATGTAATGCATAGCAAATACATCTTGTTATATATATATATTGTTTTTAAAGCAATGCATACAACCACAAAAAGCGCCAAATGATTTCTACTTAACGTTAAAGATTCATACAGTTCTCGATACAATCATTATCTTGAAAATAGAAACATTTTATTTGAATTTTTTATTTTATAAATAAGTTTTGTACATACACATGGGATCTTTCTCTCTCTCTCTCCCCCTCTCTCTGTCACTCTCTGTGTGTCTGTATCTCTGTCTCTCTCTATAGATATATATATAAACATATATAATCTTTCTCTTTCTCTCCTCTTACTCTCTCTCTCTCTCTCTGTATATCTCTTTCTCTGTATCTCTCTCTCTCTCTCCATATAAATCTCTATCTTTATCTCTTTCTCTGTATTTATATATATATATATTTATCTATGTATCTCTCTTTATCTCTCCCTCTCTCTGAATCTCTCTCTCTTTTTTTATCACTCTGCCTCCCTCTCTCTTCCTCAAACTTGACCCACCTCCCGACGACCGCTTTTCATTAAAACCGTATGGAACGAATGTTGGACGGTTGACCTTTGCTAATAAACATATCCCTTGTTAAATTGAAACTGGTAGTGGTCAATATATAGCTGATGCTTGTTATAGCTTGTGGTAAAACATCCCTGATGACTAAAGCCAATATGCATGAGGGAGTGTGGAAAAGGGCATCTGCAGAGAAAATTGAAAGTTTGTTTGTATTTTCCATTCAGGCGATATAATGTAAGAGGATTGGATCTTGACTAGATGCAATGTAATTCAAAGCAAAGACATAAAGAAAAAAAGATGGCATATTAGATATTTGTTGACTTCAATTGAAAAAATTGAATTAAACATAAATCAGTAATTGGGCCAACGTGTACTTGTCCACCCACACAAATTTATGAGCAATTAATGTGCTTCTTTCAAATCCTTATTGAATGTCCATTCTAAAAATTGTGAACAAACAGTAGAAATATAAATATATCATATGTTACTTACAATAACATGATCACTTAGGACATTACAACGATAAGCATGAACCCCTCAATTTTACTATAGGGACAGTTCTTAAGTTTCTCCAATAGGTCATTTTGGCAATGTAACC